TACATATATAATATAATATATATATATATATATATATATATATATATATATATATATATATATATATATATATATATATATATATATATATATATATATATATATATATTCTATGTACGTGGTTGATCTGTAAATGCGAGTCATCTATTAGGTGAGCCATGTGATGTTACTTATGAGTGCATCTATTAAGTACCTGGGTTGTACGTCATATATAGTATTCACTGCTACGAACGTGTACATAAAACGTGCATCTGCTTCTGTTGTCATTGTGTCATGAATCCGTGATGCTCTGGCAATACACCGACTTTCCCCTCACGCCAGTGTACGAGTTCCTTTTAACATGTTTTAGAAAGAATACCTACATATCGCAATAGGTACTCTGGGCACGAGTATATGGTTGTGGCGATTTACTCTGGGCACGAGTATATGGTTGTGGCGATTTCGGTAGTCGTTTCGACATGTCTTCAACTTTGAGCAGGGGCCATCGCAGTCCTCACGACGGGGTTTAGTGTCGACATTAGCATAGAATTGGCTGCTGGTGAGGTTTATGTTATTGGAATACTGTCCCCGGTTGAAAGAAAGAGCTGACTTTCACCTGTCTGAAACCACTAATGGTATGGGACACTCAGTATAACATGTCTGCACACACCCGGCCCGTGTTATAGTTCTCGGGCTGACTTGTACCTCCTTTGAAATAAGTCTTGATTTTTAGACATACTCTCTATCTCGCCAACACAGATCCGAGTGCAAACAACTTGTCCCCGATTAAATTATTGGGCTCGCTTGCACCCACTATGAAACAACTTTCTGTCCCTCTATCAATGGATATGGACATGGATATGGGCTTAGATTTGGATACGGCTACGACTATCAAGGGAGTGCCTGTGCTGGCGTTAGCGGTATCGCCCAATGGCGTGTGCGTTGCTGCCGTCAATCTGCACGCTCAGGTACAGTCGTGTATGCTAACAGCTGCGGAGGCATCAACATATGCTTGTGCATGCTGAAGTATTAGTATATGTATGTACTTGTTCATATGTTGTCAGGAAATGGCTATTTTAGAGAGATACTGTCGGGGGTTTCAATATATATATATATATATATATATATATATATATAAACACACACACACACACACACACACACCACCCACCCACCACACACACACCACCACCACCACACACACCCGCCACCCACCCCCCCCCCCCCCCCACCACACATATATATATATACCAAGTGAGCCTCTCAGACACCCAAAGGGTAGCACTCGGAGGTACATACCATGAGAGCTTTTGTGTGTTTGACGCGCTTGGACACACTGCGGCCCAACAACATCTTGGCTTTAGAAATGTCCTGAAATCGCAAGCCTGTCGCTGCAGGGTCACCACTCTCGTTGATATCCAAAGGATACAACCCCTACACAACGGGCGTTGTAAGTGTAGCAGGTGTTTAGACTGTTGATTGCTAACAGTTGGTTGCTAGAGTTGTTCTACGCGCCTAGGCGAGAGGGTTTTCGACAAGGAAGCATACAGTACATGGGCGTAGCTATTTTGTTTATGTTTTTGCACTCATCCAGTCCTCAATTGTGAAAAATGTCACAGCAGGTGATCGTGAAACGGGTTCGCATCGCAGGCACACAACGCACGTAGGAGCCTGACGATGGGAAGAAGTCTGTCGAGATATTTTGCTCGGAACACATCATGTTACAACCGCGAGCGATGCGTTGTTACCCCGACCCCAGTAGAGGTATAAGACTATACAAGACCTATGAATTATAGTCAGTGGGCAAAATATGTGGTCTGGCGTACGAGCTGGTCATCTCCCAACAGGTTTCGCACCCGTGCGGGTTCATGCCGCGATTTCTCACCCACCCAAACACCAACGCACAATGACCGGAAGAGGCTTCAAGCCCAAGCACATGCCACACATACACTCCACTTACCTCGTTGAAATCAACAGTGGCGGCGGATGAATTATTGTGAGACACAATGGACTTCTTTTTGTTGCCGCCCATTTTCTGCCGCACCACTTGTGACAGCACGTGGGCGACGCAGTCTACAGTGGCAATGTCACAGACAGGTCGGATGGGTGTGCGTGTGAATTGAAATGGGATGTACATATCGAGTAGGCCGTACAAATGAGTGTATGTGTATATGTAAATGAACTATTAAATGAGTGTAAGTATATATATAAATGAACTATTAAATGAGTGTATGTATATATGTAAATGAACTATTAAATGAGTGTATTTATGTATATAATTGAACTATTAAGTGAGTGTATGTATAAATGTAAATGAACTATTAAATGAGAGTATTTATGAATATAATTGAACTATTAAATGAGTGTATTTATGTATGAAAAGAAACTATTAAATGAGTGTATTTATGTATGTAAATGAACTATTCTGACAAAAGAAGTGAGCAGTGGAAACGGGCACGTACTAGCTAATCAATCAAAAAAAGGGCGACCATCATATGCATGCGCCCATTTACGAGTACTTCGGTGGGCCCTATCAAAGACGAGAAATACAGAGACAGGATCTGCTCACCGCAGAGCATTCGCTTACATATACACATACAAGAAGTCTATATGTGGTGTGTGCTTCTATATACACATACAAGGAGTCTATTGTGGTGTGTGCATATATATACACATACAATGAGTCTATATGTGGTGTGTGCTTATAAATACACATACAGAGAGTCTATATGTGGTGTGTGCTTATATACACACATGCAAAGAGTCTATATGTGGTGTATGCTTATATATACACATACAAGGAGTCTATATGTGGCGTGTGCTTATAAATACACATACAAAGAGTCTATATGTGGTGTGTGTGGCGCGCGGGGTTGTCTACATGTGTCTGTGCAAAATCCAATGGGCACCCACACAAGCAAGTCATCGATATGTACAGGTATCGAATGCCATATAAACAAGAGCTCGAAGACACGCACAGTTGTCTGTGCACATAATGACCAACACCAAACTGACCATACACACTGAAAATCTCCAAAGCACGCAAGAAAACCACACACACCTTTCTAAACTGATCATACACACCTTTTAAACTGACCACGCACACCTTTCTAAACTGACCACACACACCTTTTTATACTGACCATACACACCTTTTCAAACTGACCATACACACCTTTCTATACTGACCACACACACCTTTCTAAACTGACCATACACACCTTTCTTAATCTGCTCCAGAAGATCCTTCCAGGCCCATGTGCGGTCATGGTACTCGAGCGTAGGCAGCGACAGGAAAAAGCTGTGCGGCGATACAGGGGTGGCGCAGTCAACATTGAATTAGAAAGTGTTGGCGTGTGATAAACGAACGAGTGCAACTAAGGGAACGGGTTGACTGGGTCGGATGGGATGTCGGATATGTATCTAAATAACAGGATGCGTGTAAGTGGTGAGAAAGATAGAGGTTCATATGCGCTCGGGCGGGCACGAAGACGAGAGAAAGAGTCTGTTTCATCTATTCAGAGGGATAGGAACTTCCAGCAGACGAGTAAAAGAAACACAGGCGATTGAAAGCCTGCGACAGTCAGAAAAAGAGGGACGGAAGGCGACACGCACACAAGTGTAGGGGATTTAGTAAACAGTCGTTTCCAAACACACACATACACACACACACATATATATATATATACACACACACACACACATACACACACACATACACACACACATACACACACTCACACACATACACACACGCACATACACGACATATATATATATATACTA